TATTTTAAATTTTCAGTTTGCTTTACTAGATTTTAACATTAAATATAAAAAAAAAATACAACGTGTAATTACACAACACGCTACTGTAATCAAACTTCTTCAAACACACAAACATATCCGGATAGGGGTTAAGGAATTGATTTATTGGTATTATTTGTACACTGTGCTTCGCACGGGTGTAATGCTAATAGTAAATATACGTAAATATACTATAGAATGTCATTATACACAACAATCACAGCTTTTTTGCCATTAGACAATACAAACCGCTCGGTACCGCCGCAACCGCTATGTCCCCGCATTTCAAGTCTGTAATGTCTTCGAAAATATTCATTTAAATTAGATGCTGTAAAGGGCCATATTGATCTATATTAAATGCACAATGTATTTAAAAGTACTTAATTGGATAAGGATTAATGATGTTTTGCTTAAATTCGCTTCGTAAATAAGCCATTATTTATCGTAAAAAAATGGTGATTGTGGGTTATCCCTAAGAGATGGACATATACAATCCCGGACTTTTTTGTAGACCTTTTTAAGTAGTACAATACTGTAGTACATTATTTTGATCTATCTCGTAGGGTTCAGCCATCTAAGCGCAAAGAATGTGTTTATTTACGACATCACATTACAAACCTCTAAAATTATCAGTGTTTCTCAACTATATTATGCATGTATTATACATACAAACCTTCCTCCTGAATTACTCTATCTATTAAAAAAGACCGCATTAAAATCAATTGCGTAGTTTTACAGATCTAAACATACATAGGGACAGACAGCGGGGGAAATGCGTTGCACGATTTCGTTACATAGCAACTCGCATGAAACGAACTTACCCTAGGGTGCGCAAGGAAGTTTCACTTCAAAAATGAATAGAATCTTTTAATGATAGTATTATGTCAATATTTACAATTCGATTTAAAGACATACTTATCAAAGAAAAATAAAAAAATTCACTTACATTGAACTGCGTTTTAGCGTTTCTGCAAGCGTGACTTAGATGTATTCCGAAGACTAGGATCGACAATTCCCCAATCTCCGTAACGTAGTCCCACCATAACGGCTTACATGCTACGTAATTCATATTATCTGAAATGACTCCTTTGTAAAGGAGGTCGAAGTTTTCGTAATGAAAGTTCAGCGAAATGGCTACGTAGGCAGCCATGTAGACAAAAACGGCCAAAACCATAATGAGAAGGTACTTGAGCAGATCTGTATCTTTTACCACCCATCGGTGTGCCTTTCTCGTTCGAAATTCGATTAGGTGACGGTAAAGTTTTAGAACTATGGCACCATAACAAATAATAAAACCCAATTCTCGAGCCCAGGATAATAGAATGCATTGGAGAATGGAAGGATTGAAGTAATCGATGACAACCTGTAACAATTTTCAGTATTTTAAAGCCTTTTGAAAAAGGCACATGTTTAATAAAAATCGATAAGGTTATTTCGAGGTTTTATATTCAAACATTCTTTAATAATAAAGAACAAATAAATAGCACGTGCTAATCATGCACAAACATTTATTTAAATTTGTCTGACACCTGTTTCGACTTTTACGTGGGGTTACTAGGTAATTACAAAACGGTAAAAGTCTTTTGTCTTTTGTCACATTTCTACTATGATAGGGAAATCCTTAAGATCTAGTATGCTTAGATTTCCAGATGATATAGTTTTAAATAAAATGGGGACAGTACTAACCAAACAGTACTGTATGAAAATAAATAAAAGTTAAACTAAAATACTGCTATGCAAGGGAAGAAAAAGTAGGGAAAGAACGAATATAAAGATAGGAGACGAAAAATTAGAAGAAGTGGCTGATTTTAGATATTCAGGAAGTCAGATAAGTCAGGACGGAAGGAGTAGTAGGGATATAAAGCAGAGGATAGCGCAGGGTCGTGTCGCCTTTAATAAAAAAAAGTCACTTCTATGTTGGCGAACGGTGAATTTAGAAATTCGGAAAAGGTTGTTAAAGGTGCATGTTTGGAGTGCGGCGTTGTATGGGTGCGAAACATGGACAGTGGGCGCGGCGAAAAAGAAAAGGTTAGAAGCTTTGGAAATGTGGTATTATAGGCGATGATGAGGATAACGTGTGTAGAAAAGGTTAGAAATGAAGAGGTATTAGTGAGAATAGGAGAATAGAGGACTCTATGGAAGTCAATAGAAAATAGGCGAGATAGGTTGGTAGGACACCTTCTCAGAGAGGAAGGTCTAGTCAGAGACATATTAGAGGCAGAAACAGGAGTTAGGAGGGGTAGAGGTGGACCTAGATTAGATTACTGTTCGCAAATAGTTAAGGATGTGGGTTGTTCTAGTTTTAGGGAAATGCGAAGTTTAGCTCAGGATAGGAAAGAGTGGAGGTACGTGTCCAACCAGTCTTTAGGACTGACGACCTTATGATGATGATGACTTCCAGGTACCTAATCCAAACAAGTTCCTTTCGGTTTGTGGTGAAAAAAATATACAGTGTGCTCAAAACCCTGTTGCATTGTTTTAAGAGCAACAGATAGTTATTTAATTTGAGAAACATCGTGGACGAAAATTAAATATTAAAAAGGGAATTAGACAAGGATCTACATTGTTATTACCATAATTTGCACCTATACCAGAGATGCGACTTAAATTATTAAAGACAGGACAGCTTTGGGATATACTTATTGCAAGGACAAAAAGTCAGCATGTTTAGATTTAGATTTGTGGCAACAACTAGGAAGGAAAAATATTGGTCTGCAGGGGATATATGTAGGTGTAAGTAAACTTACAGGTAATAGGAAAAACAAAAACTAAAAGAAATCGCCGATTTTCGATATTTAATGAGTCGGTTGGAAAAGCGTTAGAGATATAAAAGAAGAAATAACGGCGCGTCGGATCGCCTTCAACAAAAAGAAATCACTCTTGTGTTCACGATCGGCTAATCTGGAAAGAGATTATTGAAAGCGTATATTTGGAGGAAGACTTTGGGTAGGTGTAAAAAAAGGAAAAGTTAGAAGCGTTAACGATCACTTTATCTTCACTTTATATATGTTGTTTGCTATAATTCTCCGTATTGTTTCCACTCCTTAACGACGGTATATTACCAATTCGTTTGGGTTTCACTCCTAATGTAATTCTTAGAATGTCGAATGCAAGTTGTATTGTCTGGGTTTCCAGATTTATTATAATTTGTCCATTTTGTATATTGTTTGAATTTTAATTTTAACTGACCGTTACAATATATTAGCAATAATAGGATAATCAACAGCGCAATAGTGATCAATAAGAAACAGGTGAGGTGAGTCGATAAGATATCTTCTCAGTCATGAAGAGCTAGACATATTATAAGCAAAAACAGGAGTTAAGAGCCGCAGCGGTAAACCTAGATTAAATTATTATTCACAAATACATAGTTAGAAAAATAGCCTGTACTTTTTGAGAAATACCAAGATGATCGTTTATCTAGGCTAGTGGTCGACAAGTAATTTTAGGTTAGGTCCGGATCTTTTTGAAATTTTTACAATAGGCAGGCATATTCCCATTCAATGGTAGAAATTACATTTGTGGTCTTGAACCCCAGTTTTTTAAAGTTAGGTTTACACTGAGAGCAGCCTTCGAATACACCCAAAGTTTCATAAAGCGACATTTAGCTTTCGTTCAACTTACAAGCACAAAAATTGTGGTTAAATGAACGTTGTTGCTGCCTCAACTCGTACGGTAGTCTATCCTGCACTGCAGATTATGACGTCTTACAATGACTCAAAAATGATAAGGATGACACTCAAAGCTCAATTTGTTATCTACAGATAAAATATTTCCTTAAGATCTAGTTGATCCTTTATTTTAGGGATGGAGACTTTCTGTATCTGTCTGATAATAATACGATACTTCAACATCATTAAAGACAGCACAACTGTAGGGATAGATATACAGGGGCAAAAGATTAGTATGCTTAGATTTGCAGATGATATAGCTTTAAATAAAATGGGAGCAGTACTAACAAAACAGTACTGGGAAGAAAAAGTAGGGAAAGAACGAATATAAAGTTAGAAGACGAAAAATTAGAACGAGTGGCAGATTTTAGATATTCAGGAAGCCAGATAAGTGAGGATGGAAGGAGTAGTAGGGATATAAAGCAGAGGATAGCGCAGGGTCGTGTCGCCTTTAATAAAAAGAAGTCACTTCTATGCTCGCGAACGGTTAATTTAGAAATTCGAAAAAGGTTGTT